CTCCTTTATGAATACTGAGAACATGATTGGTAGTTTTAATGGAAAAGGGAATCAAGTTGTATTCTAATTCATAGATCCTTTCTCTGGAAAGGTTATATATTTGGCCAAACATTTAGCTAAAGGAAAGAAACAGGACAAATATCAAGGAGGAGGAGGATTAATGAGTAGGTGGCTGGATGACATATGGAGCAATAAATGAAACATCACAACCAGTCACATCACATCAAGCCTATAGGGTCTAGGGCACCAGTCCTTAACCAGTTTCCTTTTCTGTGAAAATGAGATAACAAATGCACCCACTTCATAGGATCGTTGTAAAAATTAAATGTTAATATATATAAAGCAATTAGAACATTTAAAACATACATGACCTTCAGTACGCATAGTAAGAAGAAGAATAGTAAGAATAAATTTCAGATATTAGTTTTATAGTTGGGCTTAAAAACTACTGAAAAAGTTAATGGAAGCTACATATTCCTGAGCCCATAATTCTGATCTAGAGTCAAACTCCAGATCTAAGTGGAGAAAAAAATAAAGAAAGTCGGTGAAGGTCCCAAATGATGTTAAGACCCAAGAGTCTAGAAATGAAAAAGGAGTGGCCCAAGTAGGTGGAAGTCTCAAAAACAAAACATGATGTTATCACACAATGAGGAACCAAAAAATAACAGGATTAAGCAACATTCATGCTGCAATGAACACAGGAGACAATTTTATTAAATTCTGTAAATGTAAAATACATTTGTATTCCACCTGTTGTTAACTGTAATTATGTTAAACAAAAATTGAAAGGGCATATTAGCTTCAAAGTCATCAAGTAATATCAAGTAATACCAGGAGGAAGGGCAATGATAAAACAGAAATACCCGAGGAAGAAAGAAAGGCAGTATGATTTGGAGAAGTGTCCATAAAGCTAACAGGAGGTTTATAGACGTTTGTTCTCGATTTTCCAATATCCCCTAGCTCCTGGAGTCCCCATCCTTAGAGGGATGGTCACTGTCGCCACTGCCCAACCTTTCCCTTCTGCTAGGGAACCCACATCACACAGAACTCCTTCGGAGATTGAAGAACGAAAGATCAGAGGGGAAGACAGGTTGAAAGAAGGAAGCTAATACTCAGTACCTAAAATACAGCAAGCACAGTGACTGGCTCTGTCATATACATTTGATTTTAATTCGCGGGAAAAGACTTGGAGGAAGGAAACTGACAGAATGGGGTCAAGGACTGGGAAAGAAAAGGGACTAGTAGGTGAGAGGGAGGTTAGGAAGAATTAGAGGTCTGGAGACGGCATGGGATCGGGAAGAAGTCGATAGCTAGGGCAGTTGGAACCGTAGGTTAGAGACAGGGACAGGAGGTGGAAGAGGGGGCGGAAGGAGAAAATGGACTGTCTGAAAACACGAAACCCCGGCGGGAGGCAAGCGCTGAGCGAGACCGTCGATATTACCCGCTTACCTTGCTACGCCCCCCAGAGGCAACGCGCTGCTGCGAGCTGGGAGCCGGGAAGGACTGGGAAGGGACGTTCAGCATCCTGGACCCCTGGCCTAGGCCCTGCTGGGGGTCAGCCGCCGCACGGGATCGCTTGGCAAGACCCCACTAAAGTAATACCTCCCGCTCCGGCTCTGAGGCCGGGCAGAGGCCAAGCCCCCGACCCACTTCCGGGGTCGCCGGGGGTGAGGCGCACCATGACGCAGCACGTCGAGCCCGCGAAAGGCGGGGCCAACGGGACGCACGGAGGGCCGGCTGGAGAGGCGGAGCCAGGGGAGGGTACGCATGCTCCATAAGTTCTCCACTCAACTTCAGCACCAAAAGGAGGACACAGCTATTCCACCGAAAGATTAAAGAGAGAGTGGAGCTGTTCCTTAGCCTTGGTGCTGACCGAATCTGAGAATAAATTCTTATAGAGCCCTGTTAACCCATAACACAAGTGTCTGTCCATTGTTCTGCATCACCATTGCACTACTTAATATATGGAAAAAAATAACACTACTAGAGCATTCTGATTTCTCTGAAACTTTCTCTAAGGTACCAAGCTGTACAAGAAAGAGGAACTTTAAAAGCTAAGGTGTCAAATGCACCTTATGCGGAAGTGGAGAAAAATTCACCTTTAAAAACCCTTGCTAATGGCTGCCATTATGAGTAAAGATGTTAGTAAAGTCTCTTTCCGTTTCATTCACCTGCTCACAAGTTCCTCCTCGTCCAACTTTCTGTCTTCCCTGAAAAATACCGACCCCCAATTGCAGTGTAGAACAGCTACATTTAAGACTCGGATAGGTTTAGTTTGGATGTCATCTCTGCACTTGAGCAGCCTCATGTAAGGTACTTTAGTATCTAAATGCTTCGCTTTCCCATCTGCATGATGGATTTAGTTTTTAGTAAGGATTAAATGAGATGTCACATGTAAACTACACAATACAGTGCCTGGTTAATAGTAGGCCCTCAATAAATGGGAGTGGCTCTTAAAACTGTTCCAACATAACAACGAGAGAAGCACAAATACTGTGCATGTAAACAACAATTCCTAATGCTCAAGGTCCAGATCGGGGACCTAGTGAGCTTTTCCCCGGGGAACACACACTTTCTGAGAATAGAATGCAGTGAAGGGAGAAAGTTTTCAGAAGAAATATAATTCTAAATAACTCTCCCCATCGTCCTTCCATTTCTAACTTTTCCTAAATCTGAAACATGGTTTGAACTTGCCCTATTTCAATTGCCTTGTTCTTAAAGTGCCTGTTAATTAATGTTTGTAATATCTTTTCACTTAAAAGGAAAAGTGTGTGAATATATGTAGCCATTCAAGTGAGAGGCATTTCTTAACTAGGTAAGACCTTCCCCTCTGCCCATTATCATTCTGAAATATTATATGAACACTATTTGCAATTGAAATGCTTATTGTGAAAAAAATTGTTTTTGAGCTAAAAGAACTTCGTTACATAGTTTACTATGTTACCTTTACTTTGCAAGGTGCTCCTGTTTTCTCTCATTAAAAGATGTATTCTTCTATACGCCTACTTTAAAACACTAATCACTGAAACTTTATTTCACTTCTCATAAGAAAATGTTAACATGAGACTATCAGGAACAGGAAACCAGCACAAAGGAAGGTGATGTCGTTGGAAAATATTTCATATCTGTCAAATTTCTTAGCTCCCACTGAACAGAAATGGAAAAATACTATAAAATTCTGGCCTTTGTTTCCCCTTTTTTAGACTCTTAGATCATGGCCATTTAAACATTTTAATTCTGGGGATTCTCCAATGTACTGCCATAAGTATTGAACACTCATGTTACTTTGCTATTAGATTTAAGGATAATAGAAGACTTTTAAAGTGAGAATTACTTGACTCATCATTTATTAAAAATCCCTAAAACCTAATAGTCTTAACACAGATTCCCATTTTCATCATAAACAATGATTTAAAGTGTTTTTCACCATCTGCTAGCAAATTCATAATAATAATTTGTGATTGGTAACATAAGGTGATTTTCTTCATTATCTAATAATACTCATCTATAACTACCATATCCAATGGAAATCAATAAGAATTAACAGATGTTCTAACATTCGGTTCCAAAATGTTGTCATTCTATTAAGTTATAATTAAATATTTGCAAAATTACATCTAAAGAAACTTGTAATTTGATGAAGAGATCAAAATTATCTTTTGTAAGCCCTAAATGTTTACAATACAATCAATACATTTGTAAATGGCACCTATTTTTAGATTCCAGTATTGAATTATAGTGTAGAGATTTTAAAAAAGGCCCAACTACTATAGTAAGTACAAAATATTCATTTTATTAAAAGTTTCTATACAAATAAATTAGTTTAAAAGAATTATGATATTATTTGCATCCTAACTTTAAATCCTACAAACTTTTAATGTCATCAAAAGTAACTAATCAGATTAATTTTCACAGATTAGTTCCTCAATTTCATCTTCACTATCAGAATCTTCATAAAATGAAATTGTGGCTTGAATTGGAAAATTTTTCAGAAGAGCTTCTGCTTCTTGATATAAGTAATCATAACACTTTGATTTTGGCCAAAATAGTCTGAAAGAAGCAGACAACATAATTCACTTTATTTTTCCATATTCAAAATCCTTATAGTCACGAAATGTTCAATTTTCAAGAGCTCTATATATTTAACAATTATTTTCATCATTTAGACAGCCTTAAGATAGTTTTAAAAGCTACTATCACAGCTTTCTTGGCATCTACTTCCCAAAGTATCAATAACTGGTTGATTATTTTAAAAATCTTTATCTAAGCTATAAATTGAGTCAAACAAATTCACACTAAACCTTGTGTGAGCCTAAGATCATATTTAGCTTACTTCAGGCATTGTGGATATATTTATTCTTTAAAAAATTCAGAAAGTTTGTCTTCTAATTTGCAAATTCCCTAAGAAAAAAAAAGTCCTACCACTACATTAAAAATTCTGATAGACAAAAAAATATTATACCTCTTACAGGAAGACAGAAATGACCTAGTATTTTGCTTAAAACTCACAGATTTAACTCAGTTACAGTTGTAGCCAAAGTAAGTTTAGGTAAGTACAAAAAGCAGTATTTTTAAAGTTCTTCTATGCTCTCACAACTTGAGGTACAGATAGTCTACCTCTGACCCATACCTTGATCCCATCTTCTTCCCCTTTCCCCAGTCAATTAAATTTGGGAACACCACATTGAGACATTAATAATGACACTAGGTTTACACAAATAATTTGCACGTAAACATGATTACCCCAGAATTTAAAATTTCTGAACAATATTAATCTTGCCACCTGGTCTTCTATTATTTTTCAGCCAAAGAAAAGAAAAGAGGAAGGATAAGGCTGAATCACCAATTACATTGCAGTCATTTCATCGTTAATAGCCCAATGTACACACACGATAAAGTGATTCTAACAAAGAGAAGGTACATTATGTTCAGCATACTCCATTTTAAAAGACAGAAAAATAGGCAATGTAGTTTATAAATGTTTTTAGCAAAATAGTAAAACTAATAGTTTGTAATTTTGGTGTCAAATTAGTAACTATCAATAATTCAGTCATTCAATAAATATTTTAGTGCTCTCTTGTGCAGACATAATCCATGATTCAAAGATAAATAAACTTTGGTTCCTACCCTCAAGAAGTTGATAATTGAGTAAAAATAATCAGAAAGACATAATGCTATTCAAGATGGAAATTAATAAAAATAAAATAAACTTAAGAGAAATACAAATATATTGCTACAGTAATTCAGAAAAGAAATTGGTTATATAGGAAACAATTGATTATTTTGTAACCAAACTGCCAAATCCAAAGGATATTGTTTAAGCATTACCATATTCTCCCCAAAATGTTTCACTGTCTTCATTTGTCTTCCAGGAATTTCCTGAATTCCATATTTTCCTGAATTTCCCCCACTCTACCCCCCACCCGCCACCTCTGAATTTCCCCC